TTAAGGTATGTAATAAATAATATTTTGGTTTTCTAATTCTAGTTCAATACTGTTAGTGTTTGTGTCACAGGGAAGTTGTGTCCTAACTCTGTGTAGAAGCAGCTCTTGGTCCTTGGTTCTTTGTGTCTTCAATGAAAGAATTCAGTCCAGAAACATAGGCAGCTGGATCGAACTCGGGACCTTGTGCTTGCAAGGCAGGAGGCGGAACCACTGAGCTAAATCCCTGGCCCAAGCAGAGTTTCTTATAAAGCAGATGTTGAGATTTCAGCCTTGAAGCAAGAAGATAGGCAGTGCCATGTAGGCATCTCCACCAAGATGGAGTTTGGCTATCTTCTATATACCCAAGAGTTACTCCTGGGGTTCAGGGAACTGCAGTATGGTGATTATGATGCTTATTAGCACTTTTCTTAGAGGCGACTTTGGAATTGCAACGTGTCTTCTGTGTTCTTTTCAGATGGTCAGTGTTCCCTCAAGGGCCTTGATCGTGTAAAACATTACAAAAGAAATTTATAAATAAAAAGTTTTCATCCAAATCAGGTCTCAGACCAAGCTCGGAGGATCTTGAAAGAATGTTCCCCTGTCTAATACCATTGAGCCTAGGCCTTTTAGGCCTGACTGCTGTATGTCCTATTTGGAAATAGACACCTCAAACTGAAAAGAATGTGCACAGTATCTAACCTTAAAATATCATTGTGTTCCATTGGGCTGTTTTGGGGCCTGAGACCTAACAAATGATTATAAGTGTCTTTATTCATTTAACTATGACTGCTCAGTCAAATCCGCTAATTTGAATCTTCTTTTTCTCTCAGGCCTGGTAGTGTCTAACTACTTGCCTAACAATTTGAATCTAAAATGTCCCCCAAAAGGCTCATGTGTTGCATGCTTGGTCCTCAGTGCATCAATATCAGAAGTGGGACTTTTGGAAAATGATGATTGAGTCATAAGGGCTCTAATGTTGTCAGTGGATTAATCTGTTGATAGAGTCATAATTTGATAGTATTGGGAGGTGATTGGAACTTAGGAGGTGGGGACTAGTTGAAGGGAGTGGACCGATGTAGGCTAGACTGTATGTTAGGGACTATGTCTTAGGGACGAAATCTTGTTTCCAGACCTTTCTTCTTACTGGCTGACCCTTCCCCCTCCTTGTGTTCCTCTCTTTTCTGGCTGCCATGAGGTGAGCAGCTTTCCAACACTATTCCCCTCCACTGTGTTGTTTCTGCCTCCCTGTATAAGTCTTTCCTCCATTAAGTTGTTTTTCTCAGATATTTTGCTGCAGTAAAAAGGTAGTATAGTTGTAATATGGCGTATATCTTTTCTGTTAAATTTTTATTGCTACTTTTCCTGGCTCAAACCCTCCTCAACTTTTGCTTAGATTAGTACTTATTTTTAAGTTATAGCACTTCTTTCATAAGTTAATCATTTCATGTTTTTAAAAATCTGCTATTTATCAGATTGCTTTCTCAAGTACCATAATTTATCAAATATCTCTTTCTTATCTTCAGTCTTTCACTACCTTTTTTTTTTTTTTTTGTACTGGGGATCGAACTGGGGACCTTGCGCTTGCAAGGCAGGCAGTGGACCCTAATGTAAACTTTTTGAAACAACAGTGTACTTATTCTTTACTTCTTCATTTATAACAATCTGACTTACTTTCACAACTCTACTCAATCTTCTTATCAATACCTTCTTTCCAAATCCATTCACCTTTTTTTCAGACTTCATACTTTTATTTTGTAGTGTTACTCTTTTCCTTCTTTTGTGACTATAATAAAATATTTATAAGATAAAATTTGTCCTTTTGGGGCTGGGAGTTTAGCTTAGTGGTAGAGTGCCTGCCTAGCTTTATCAAGGTCTTCACTTCAATCCCAGTACCACCAACAAAACAAAACAATTTTTTTTTTTTTTGGTACTGGTACCGGGGATCAAACTCGGGTCCTTGCGCTTGTGAGAACAAATTCTTTTTTGAGACAGGGTCTCACTATGTAGTTCAGACTGGCCTTGAACTTACTTTGTAGCCCAGGCTGTCCTCCCACAGCAGTCCTCAAGGCTCAGCCTTCTGAGTGCTGGGATTACAGGCATGCACCACCATGCCTGGTTTAAAACAAATTTTTTAAGTGTGTAGTAAATCCAGTGGCAGTAATTACATTAACAGTGTTGTATAGCCAGCATCACTATCTACTTGCAAAACCTTTTAATATCTTCAGACAGAAACCAGGTCTACCCATTCTGCCTTCCCCTGTGACCCAGTAATTTCTAATCTACTTTCTGTCTCAGTGAATTTGACTATTCTAGGTATTTAAAAATTTTTATTAATATATACTTGCAGTACATAATAATTATATTCATCGTGGAGAGTTGGTACATGTACATAATACATCTTAATTCTTTTTACATCCCATAGATCAGTGATAGCAAACCTTTTAGAGCTTTCAGTGATAACAGCCAGCTGTGGCACGCATGCCATAGATTCACCACTACTGCATATTTCACATAAATGAAATACAGTATTTGTCTTCTTGTACTTGACTTATTTCACTTAGTATATATTTGGGGTGCATCCATGATGTAGCATGCATCAGAACTTTATTCCACTCATGGTTGACTATTCTTGTGTATGCATCTGTGTCACATTTTAATTATTCATCTGTTGATAGACTTTTGTTGTTTCCACCTGAATAATGTTGCTGTGAACATTCGTGCACACGTATCTGGCTTTCTGTTTTCAGTTCTTTTGGATATACTGTATACCTAGGAGTAGAATTGCTGGGTCATTTTGCAATTTTGTGTCTGGATTTTTGAGGAATTGTCAAAGTTTTCCACAGTGATTGTACCATTTTACATTCCCACCAGCAATATACGAGTCTTCTAATTTCTTCATATTCTAACATTATAATGTTTTTTTGAGACAGAGTCTTGCTGTATAGTTCAGGTTGGTCTTGCACTACTATGTAGCTCAGGCTGGCCTTGAACTCTTGGTGATCCTTCTGTCTCAGCTTCACGAGTGCTGGGATTACAGTTGTGTGCCACCACTGGCTTTTTAGTCTTTTTAAAAAAATATTTAAAAAGTTATAGCCATCTTAGATGACTTGAAGTGGTATCTTATTTTTGTTTGGGTGTTTCCCAAATGACTAGAATGTTACACATATATCATATGTATATTGGCCATTTGCACATCTTCTTTCCAGAAGTTATATATATATAAAACCAATATATATATATATTGGTTTTCACTAGGGTCTCTCTATGTACCTCAGGCTGGCCTTGAACTCATGGCAATCCTTTTGCCTCAGCTGGGATTATAGGCATGGGCCAGCACGCCTGGCTAAAAATATCTGATGATGGCATTGCCCATTTAAAAACTGGATTGTCTATCACTGAAATTCTAAAGATATTTTGTATATTCTAGTTACGTCCCTGATCTGATTCATTTCTCTCTATTTTGTTGATTTTTTTTTTTTCATTACTGGGGAGCTAACTCATGCTAGACAAGCACTGTACCACTGAGCTACATCCCCAGACCTTTTTATTTTGTTTGGGTCAGGGTCTTGCTAAGTTGCCTAGCCTAGCCTTGAACTTGCCATCCTCCTGTCTCAGTCTCCCAAGTAGCTGGGATTCTGTTGATTATTTTTACTTTCTTGATGCTTCCCTTTGAAGTATAAAAGTTTTTAATTTTGATGAAATCTATCAAAATTTTTGCCTGCATTTTTGGCATTATATAAGAGGTGATAAAAATATGTGTTTAAATAAAAAATTGATAACAGTAAAAGATGTACTGCCATTAATCTCACTCAGAACACTTTCCTTAGCTTTGAACACACTCACTGGTCTTGGCACTTTCTGAAGCAGTTCTGGAAGTTCTCTTTTGTGTCTTTATGAGGTGTGATTAAAGAAAAACATGGTGCTGCTGCCAAGTGCCATCCAATCTTTAATCATGATTACAAAGATTTATGCCATTGCGTTCGTTTTAAGAGTTGTACATGGTGTTAGCTATTACTTTTTTTGTTGTTTTTTGAGGCAGGATCTCCCTTTGTAGTTCAGGGTGAGCCTGAACTCACTATACAGCCCAGGCTGGCCTCAAACTTGTGGTGATCCTCCTGCCTCTGCCTCCCAAGTGGTGGGATTACAGGCATGTGCCACTTTGCCCAATTTAGCTGTTACATTTTAGGTCTTAGATTAATTTTAAGTGAATTAAGACTTTTTTAGAGAACAGGGTCTCACTATATAGGTCAGTCTGGCCTTGAACTCACTATGTAGCCATGGCTGGCCTGGAACTTGTGGCAATCCTCCTGCCTCAGCCTTCTGGGTCCTGAGATTACAGTTGTTGGCCATCACGTCCTGCTGACATTTTTAAATTGTGTTAGAATATACAACACAAAATTGATCATTTTACTGGGCATGCTACCCATCTCAGTAGCTGGGACTGTAGGCACACATCTTGCTGGACTGTCATTGATCTAAATGCTTGTCCTTGTGCCTTAGTATATACCTCACTGACTACATGACTATGGCTTTATAGTAATTGTTGATGTAGTGTAAAATTGTTTGCACTGGTTCTAGTTTCTTGCATTTCCATGTGAATTTTAGGATAGTTTGGCAGTTTCTACAAAAATGCTTGTTGGAATTTTAGTAGAGTGTGCATGAATTTATAGATTAGATTGGAAAGAACAGGAGTATTCCAATTCATGGACATGGAATGTGTCTCAGTTTATTGAGATCTTTAGTTTTTTTCATCAGTGTTTTGTAATTTTTAGTGTATGAGTCTTGTATGTCTGTTATTTATTCTTCAGAGGTTTTTTTGTTTTGTTTTTTTTGAGACAGTCTCACTTTTGTAGGCTGGCCTCAAACTCCTGGCAGTCCTCTTGTCTCTGCCTCCTGAGAGTTGGGATTACAGGCATGTACTACCATGCCTGGTCTCTTCCTAAGTATTGTGAATGCTTTTTGCTGATTTTATTTTTGTATTGCTTATTGCTAGTATATGGTAATACAATTGATTATGGATTTTTGTGTACTAGTTTTATTCTTTAACCTTGCTAGTTTATTCATCCTAACAGGGGTGTGTGTGTGTGTGTGTGTGTGTGTGTGTGTCTGTCTGTCTGTCTGTCTTTGGATTTCCTAGCAGTTGCTATACATGGGTCCTGACATCTTTGAATAAGGACATTTTCTTCCTTTTCAATCTCCATGACTTATCTTTTTCCTTATTGCTCTGGCAAGACCCTTCAGTACATTGTTGAAAACAAGCGGTGAAGGTTGACCTTATTTTTTTTCCTGATACAAGGGGGGGAATATTTAGTTTTTCATTATTAAATATGGTATCTGTTGTAGGTTTGTCATAGGTTGTGGACTTTATAAATGTAAGACCATTTCCATTGTTAGTTTGAGAATTGTTACCATGAATGGATATAGGGGCTTAGTGAAATGGTTTTAATATGTTTTCACTGAGCTGAGCCTGTGGCTTTTGTCATTTATTTTATGGATATGGTATATTACATTAAGTGTTTTTTGGAAGTTAGACCAAGCTTGGATTTCTGGGATAAGTTACACTGTGTCAGAATGTGTCACTGAATTTGATTTGCTATTATTTTATTAGTGAATTTTACATTTATATTTTTATGAGGACTATTTTCTTGTGATGCCTTTGTTTTCAGTATCAGGGTAATTGGGCTGTATTAATTTTCTGTTGCTGCTATAACATTATTACAAACTTAATGACTTAAGAGCAACGCCATTTACTAAAACTACACCATTTACTGAAACTACACTGTTTATTCAGTTTTGGTGGATCAGATTTGATATTTGGTTCAGCTGGTTCTTTCTCCGATTAATCTCACAAGGCTGAAATCAAGTTGTTGGCAGCATTTTGTTCCTTTTAGGAGGCTCTAAAGGAGAACTCACTTTCAGGCTTAGTCAAGGTGTTGGCTGAATTCACTTCCGTGCAGTTGTAGGACTTGAGGTTTCTATTTCTTTACTGGCTACTAGCCTGGGGTTATTTGCAGCTTCTAAGGCTGTCTGCATTCCCTGGCCTTGTGGCTCCTTGAAAGCCAATAGCAGGTTAGATTTCTTTCCAGTTTCAAATTTCCCTGACTTTCTCTTCCATATTTCTGATACATGTTTCTTAACTCCAGCCAGAGAAATTTCTCCCTTTGTAGTGTAGTGTTCATGTGATTAGATTGGGCCCACCTGGATACCCCAGGCTAATCTCGTTAAGGAATGTGACCTTAATTACATTTGCTAAGTCCTTGCACAGCAGTACTTAGATTATGTTTGAATGAATAACTAGGGGACAGGAACCTTGAAGAGATAGCTTTGGAATTCTGCCTACTATACAGTCCTCATGGAATTAATCAGGTATTGTTCTTCTGTTTTCTGCAAGTTTTAGGAAAATTAATATTATATCTTCTTTAAATATTGGATGGATGGGGCCGGGGAGGACCTGAGTTTGATCCCCAGTACCAAAGAAAAAAACAATTAATGGATGCTATCTGACCTTGTGCTTGTCTTTGTGTGAAAGGATTTCTTTTTTTTTTTTTTTTTTGTACAGGGGATTGAACCCAGGGCCTTGACAGATACTAGGGAAGTACTCTACAATTTAGCTACAGCTACAGTCCTTTTTGTTTTGAGACAGGATCTAATTTGTCCAGGGTGATCTGGAGCATGTGATACTCCTACCTTAACCTCCTGAGTAGCTAGGATTACAGGTGTGTTCCACCATGTCCAACTTCTTAAATTAGTTCAGACTATAGATTTAATATTTTTCTTCTTTTCTGCTATAAGTGTTTAAAACACCGTTTTAGTTATATCTCATACATTTTGATGTTTTGCATTTAATTTCATTCAGTTCAAAACTATTTTCTAATTTACTTTGTGATTTTTTTTTTTTGGTACTGGGGATCAAACTTGGGACCTTGCACTTTTGAGGCAGGCAGTGGAACCACTGAGCTAAATCCCCAGCCCTGTGATCTTTTTCTTTGATCTGTCGGTTATTTTAAAGTATGTGATTTAATTTTGAGATAAGTACTTGGAGATTTCTCATACTTCTTCTCTGCTTTGGATTTTTAAAAAATTGTTGTTACTGGAGAACCTACTTGTATGATTTTAATCATTTTAAATTTATTGATGATTTCTTATAGCATATCATAGGGTTTGATGGACTTTTTCTGGAAAGGGCCATATAGAAAATATTTTAGGGTTTTTGGTCCATGTGGTCTGAGTTGCACCTGCTCATTTTTACTGTCCTAGTGCAAAAACAGCCATAAACTATACAACACATAAACCAGTGAGCCTATCTTTGTTAGAATAAAACAAAAATCAGGGCTGGATTTGACCTCTGGCCATAGTGCACTAACCCTAACTTTTTCACCATTGGGCCCTCATATCTTTTCTTGTATGCAAGCTTGTGGTCAGCCAGAGATGTCTGACTTTCTGCAGTATCTCCATCCTGATGTGTGGAACACTTAGCGAGGTTCCTCAGAGTTTCATTTCCAGATTTGCCCTTTAGATTTCTGTCTCATTTCCTGGTTCATTGCTTGCACTATGACAGCAACCTCAGGCTGATGGATCCTTGGTCTTGCTTGTTGCCAAAAATATAAGCTCTTACTGACACTGCGATGAATGTGGGGGTTTTCTGTGCTTTGCTTCATGCCAAATGAGCTCCCTCTGTGGTGGAAGCTGCTGGTTTTCATGGCTTTCCCCACCTCAGTGGAACTACCTTTCCCACTAACCTGAGAGTGTTTAAAGGGAACAGCCCCAGGTAATAATGCCACATACACCCACTATTCTAACCCCAAGTTCAATAGATTCTAGTGAATAACAACAGAGATGGTAACATTTGAAAAAAATCTGAAGGAGATGAGGAAGTTTTCCATGTCGCTATCTACAGGAAGAACATTCTTGGGAGAGGGAGCACCTTAAGGATGTTTCATACATATCTAGAGTATAAAAGGGATAATAAAGAGGCTGGCATGTCTCCAGTAGAATACGTGAACTCAGAGAAAGGTAGTAGGACATGCAATCCGAGCTGTCCGAAATAGGGGCAGGGCACCTGAATAGATAGGACCATGAGGGCTGCTCTAAGGACTTTTTCGCTTTTCTTTTTAGTGAAATGGGCCTGAACCAGTAGTGTCAGAGATAATCTGTCTTACAATTTTATTATTTCTTTTATTTTTTGGTACCAGGGATCGAACTTGGGACTTTGCGCTTGCAAGGCAGGTGGCGGAACAACTGAGCTAAACCCCCTGCCCCTGTCTTACAATTTTAAATAGCTGCAATAGTGAAATAGAAGCTACAGGTGTCAGGTAGAAGACTCAGGATGCCAGTTATAGGCTCTTACCATTCTGATTATGTGTGCAAGATGTTTGTGATTTAAACAGAGTGGTAGCAGTGGAGGTGAAGTGGCCCACGTCTGTAGGGGACAGGGGAAGGGGACGTTACCAGAACCTCTGCAGTGAGTCCTGGTCTCCTGCGAGCCACGGCAGCACACGGCGAATTACAGGAAAGGCAGAAAAATGAGACCGAGAAGAAGCTGAGCTTTGGGTCTGATCAGTGCTGCTCTGGGCAGCAAAGACAAAGCCCCCAGCTTACCACACCTTTTATTCAGTACATCGGGAGAAACAAATGTAACAAATGACTTGCAGAGAGTTCAACAGTTCACATTGGGATAAACAAGGTGTAACGGAAGGCTTGCAGAGAGGTCAGTACATCTCCGGCAAACAAGATGTTAATCAGTCCAAGAACAATGAGGAACTGAGCAGATGTTTGTTCTCCCAGGATGTTTCTTGTCCTGGAGAATCACAGCATCACTGGATCACTGAAGTCTCAGTTGTGACCAGAGGCCAAACTGGAGTTATTCTGTAGCTGGGCTGTAGGCAAGAGAACTAGGCTAACCAAATGATTTTTCCGTAGAATTATGTAGCATTGCTCCCAACACACGTCTGGGTGTATTTTAAAGGTAGAACAAATTGTTTTTTTAATAGGTTAGTGGTAGTAGGGAGTGAACAGACTGAGATCTTTTCTTATTTCAAGGGAATTTTCCTATATACATAGTTGTGAATGCTTTTTGTCTTCCTTTTATTTAGCCTTATTATTTGAGTCTCAATATTAATTTGAGTGATTTTTTCATTTTTTGTATTCCAGTATTGTAATTGTTTTAATCTCTTTTTTTCTTCTGAAGGCTTTTCTTCATTGTATTCGTTCTATTTTCATCTGTGTTTATCGATTTCTTGCTATTTCTTTAAAAAAAAAAAATCCCATTTTTATCTATTTTTGGACCAGGGATCGAACTTGGGACCTTGCTCCTGTGAGGCAGGTGGCGGAACCACTGAGCTAAATCCCCAGCCCAAAACAGCTTTGGAAGAATTTTTTTTTTTTTGGTACCGGGGATCGAACTTGGGTCCTTGCACTTGCGAGGCAGGTGGCTGAACCACTGAGGTAAATCCCCGGCCCTATTTCTTTTTTTTCTTTTTTGATACTGGGGATCCAACTCTGGACCTTGTGCTTGCAAGGCAAGCGCCAGAACCACTGAGCTAAATCCCCGGCCCCCTATTTCTGACTTCTTATTAGTTGATGTTTTCCAGTTTTTCTTTAATTTTACAGTCTGCTTTAATATTTAAATATTTATTAATTATTTTCTAGCTTGTGAGCTTTATGATCCTTATCAGACTTTCTTTACCCAGAATTCCTGGGCATATACCTTTAAAATGTTTAGTGATACAGAGAAAAATAGGCCAAGAATGGGAGTACCCACTTGTAATCCCAGCTACTTGAGATGGTAAGCCAGGCTGGTTGCAAATTCAAGGCCAGCCTGGGAGACAGGAAGTCCCCATTTTTAAAAAAGGGTGGGGCACTGGGAATGTAGCTTAATAGTAGAGAGCTCTTGCCTAGCATGTATAAAACCCTGGGTTCAATACTTAAAAACAAACAAAACAAAACAAAAACAGGTTTGTATCTTTACAATTTGGAAAAGCTGCTTTGAGCCAATAGTGGTGGCACACGCCTATAATCCCAGTACTTGGAAGGCTGAGGCAGGGAGATCACTGTGAGTTGGAGGCCAGCCTGTGCAACATAGTGAGTTCAAGGCCAGCCTGAACTATATAGCAATATCCTGTCTCAAAAACAAAACAAAAGAATGTTTTTAGTAGCTATATTCTTCCTACAGTGTTTTTTAAAACTAGTTTTACATAGAGAAATTCAAAGTAAAACATGTATGTTACCTAGATATTTCACACAGATAGTTGTAGTAATTGTAAAAGTGAATGTGTGTATTTGTGTTTTTCCCTCCAGAATCTCCCAGGAAAAAGAGACATGACTGCAGTGATACATCCTGACAAGAAGTTGATAAAAGCAAAGGAGCAGAGATTAACAGCTAGCAAGCAGAATTTTGAACCGTCAGGATTTCACATTTACTGCTTTCAGCTACAAATTTCTGTTGCCAACTTTTAAATCAGATATACTTTCAGAACCCAGAAAAGACAAAAAGATACTTTTCTTCCATATTTTTTGTTAGGTAAAAGAAACTGCAATGTCTAGGAAACAAAGCCAGAAGGGTAAGATTATATATGTGGGCATAAATTGTTAAAAGAATAGTTGTAGTGGGCTGAGGATATAATTTGTGGTAGAATACTTGCCTAGCATGTACAAGACCTCAGATTTGCGCGCCCCCCCCAAAAAAAGTGGCAAACATCTCCTTTCTGTCTATACATTTATTAGTATTCGTGTGTGTGTGTGTCTGTCTCAGGGAGAGACAGGGAGAGACAGGGTCTCACTATGTAGTTCAGGCTGACCTTGAACTCACAGCAGTCCTCCTGCCTCAGCCACCCGAGTGCTGGGATTACAGGCATGCACTACCACATCCGGCTTGCTTTTCTATTATTATAAATTTATTGAATTGTAATAACTTACAGGAAAGCCAAATGCAACCTGATGCTGCATATTTGGAGACAACATGTGTTAGGGAACATGTGTTAGGGGATAGAAGATGATTTTCTTCAGGATGTTCTGTATTCTAAAAAAGGGAAATGAAGTAAGATTGAATGCTTTCAGTTTTTGTTTCCTTCTTTAGCTTTCCTTCCTGGATTGTTACTCTAACTTAAGTATGATATGAAGTACAAGGAGTCAGGAAATATCAAGAGTAGTTATAATGAGGGGAAGGACAACAGGGCTGTGTAAAATCTCTTTTTCAGGTTTCCTAGCTGCAAAAATTTGAGAGATTTAACAGTAGCACTGGAACTATTTCATGTAAGTAGAATATATTAATTAAAGAATGACTAGTTATCCTGACTTTGTTATCTGGTTCAGTTGAAGTCAGTACCCATATAATTCAAAATAAACATGTTCAGTCCAGATCTTACTTTTATTTATTTATTTTTTTGTGGTACTGGGGATCAAACTCAGGACCTTTGGACCTTGTGCTTGCAAGGCAGACATGGCGCCACTAAACTAAATCCCCGGCAAGGTCTTGCATTTTAATATGAAGGAAATACTTTCAGTTTGGACTTGGCAGTTCAAAACTTCTCTGTGCCAGGTGTGATGTCTCAAAATAAAGATATAAAAAAGGCATAAGCTAAATTAAAATTTCCTTTAAGTAAAATAAAATAAGAACTGTAATGTAACTCAGTGTGAAGATGCTGGGTTCAGTCCTCAGTACTGGGGGGGAAAGAGCAATATGCTGATTTTTGTTCTGTTAGTATCTCATTTATAGCCATTCCGTAAGGATTTTTTTTTTTTTTTTTTTTTTGGTACGGGGGATCAAACTTTGAACCTTGCGCTTACAAGGCAGATGGTGGAACCACTGAGCTAAATCCCCGGCCCCGAACTTATGTTTTTATTTAGCCACAGATCATGTTTCCATTCTTTTTGTCAGTAGTATCTGTAAAGTCCTTAATGAAATATTTATTGGAGTTAAACTTGAATGGCGTAAAGGAAGTCAATTTTAACTATTTATTGCTGATAGCCTCTTACCCAACACATAGCAGAAATCAGGTCAGAGTATTGCTTTTCAGAATGTGTTCCATAGACCAGGTGTCTGTGAAATGGAAGAATATATGGGAATAGAAAGCGTTTACAGATTTTTATAGTCATTTGACATTACTTCAGTATCTACTCCCTTTTTAGAGTAATTTTGAGTTATAATTTAAATATTGTAAAAATTTTTTAAAATATTGTAAAATTTGCTCATTATAGATATATAGTTATTCTTAGTAAATTTTTACAGTTCTGTAACCATCATCACAGTTGGTGTTTTGAGATAGGCTCTCAGTATGTAGAGACCATGCTGGCCTTAAACTCATGGTGATCCTCCTGCCTCAGCCTCCCAAGTGCTGGGATTACCAGCCTGCGTCACCACCTGTGGTACCACAATCCTATTTTAAAATAATTTCCTAAAAAATTAATAAAATACTTCCCTCGTTATCCCAAATTCTTTCAGTTTGTGACTGATTCTTGTTCCCTACTATAGACCCAGGCAAACATTGATCTTTTTAATCTATTTTTGTCTTTTTAGAAATATCATATACTCAGCTTAATACAGTTTTTATGTGTGTATTCTTTCAGTATAATTTTTTTGAAATTTCTCCATATTACCGGATATAACAGTAGTTTGCTTCTTTTTACTACTAAGTATTATGATCATAATCATATTTTGTTTATCTACTCATCAGTTGCTATTCATTTGGATTGTTTCATTTGGGGTTATTACTGTAAATATAAGTACATTTACTTACAACCCCTTCATCCCCATTCCCAGTTCCCAGTGATGGACATTAAACCCAGAGCTGTTGAGCCAAGGTACATCTCTATCCCCTTTTTAAAAATTTTTGAAACAGGGTCTCACCAGGTGGCTAAATTGCCTAAACATTGGACCCTTCTGCCTCAGCCTCCCAGTCACAGTCCAGTTATCACAGTCTAGTTCAAGCCAATACTGACTTAATTCTGGTAAAACATAGCAATTTTGTTCCAGTATATCCTAGTTTCTTCCCCCTCTTGTACTGTTATTTTTTATATATATTAAATCTAAGTGCCAGGCACAGTGGTTCATGCCTGTAATTCCAGCATTTGGGAGGGTGAGGCAGGAGGATCGCTGTGAGTTCAAGGCCAGCATGGAATATATAGCAAGACCTTGTCTCCACAAACAAACAAAATTACGTTATAAACTCAAAAATAGTGTCATACCTATTCCTTTAAACAATGTATGCTTTGCAAGAAATTAGGAGAAAAAAGGAGTCTTTTTATATTTACTCAAATATTTACCATTTTGGGTGCTCTTGATTCCTTCCTCTGAATTTGAGTTGTGGTCTGGTTTTATTTGTTTTCTTTCTTTCTTTTTTTAATTTGTTTTTGGCTTAAAGAATTTCCATCTCATGGGAAAGGCTGACAGCAGTGCATTCTTTCAGCTTTTGTTTACTGAAATGTGTTCATTTCATCTTCATTTTTTTTGGTACTGGAGATCGAACTCGGGACCTTGCGCTTGCGAGGCAGAAGGTGGAACCACTGAGCTAAATCCCCGGCCCTCATCTTCATTTTTAAAGGATAGCTTTGCTGGATATAGAACTTTTCATTGACAAATTTTTCTTTTAGCAGATAGAGTATGCCATTCCACTGAATATGTCATATTATTGTTTCCCTGCTTATAATGAGTCATTTTTCTCTGGTCAGTATTTTGTCTTTGTATCTGTCTTTAGCAGTTGACTATGATCCATCTTGGTATGGTTCTCTTATGAATTTCATCAAACTTTGGCCTTTATTTCTTCAAAAAAGTTTTTCTAGCTCTTCATTTCTTCACTTTTTTGAAATCCTACAAGTGGCTGAAGGCTCTATTAATTTTTCTTTTTTGATCTTTTTTTAAGTTCACTGATTCTTCTGTCAGCATTTCAGATTTGCTGTTAAGTCTATCTAGTAAATTATTCATTTGTGGGAGATTGTATCTTCAATTATAATTTATTTTGTGTTGTTTTGTTTTTTTAGTAATTTCTCTATTGGGATTACTACAGAAATATTTTTACGTAATTAATTAATAAGTTATATGAACGATTAGACCACCCAGGCTCTAGAGAGCTGCCCACTGTTGCCACTGTTGGACTGTTAAGCAAATTCTCTTTGGTGGAGAATGATTGTATATTTGTTGAGTCAGGACCATATTTTTTTTTAAACTAATTTCTTTTAATTGTTTGAAATAGTTTACTTTTTTTCCTCCCAAATTCTTACATGCTCAGAGGCAGGGTCTTTCAGTAGGTGATTACATCGTGACATCTGATTTCATCATTGGGCTCATGCATTGGTGAGATCATGACAGCTGTTGGGAGGTCATGGAAACAAAAGGTGTGGTTCAGTTGGAGGAACTAGGTCCCTGGGGACCTTGAAGGTATCTTTTGTCCCTGGTCCTGTCCACTCTTTCCCCCTCTGTGCTTCCTGGCTGCCTTGAGTGAGCAACGTTCTCCCAACACCCTTCTGCCATAGTGTTTCTGCCTTCTCCCAAGCCTAAAAGCACCAGAGCCTGCTTACCTCTGAAACTGTGAGTGAAAACAAATCTTTACTCCTTAAAAAAAAGTTTCCTTTAATTCTTTGAACATAGTTATATAAGTTGTTTGATGCCCTTATTAAATCTACCAACTGGGCCCTCAGAATTAGTTTCTATGGTATTTGAATGTTTTTGTATATATGAGTCCCACCCTCCCTGTCTTTCTGTGGGTAATTTAGGTAATATATTAACTGCCCATTTGTCTGGATTTAAAACTGAGGAGTCTTTATCCTTCATTTGTATAGTCACTAATATTTCTGCATTGTTTAAAATATAGTTTTGTTTTTAGTCTAGTTTTTAGGGATTGCCTCTGTGTCCTTTCTGTGGCACTCTCATTTCCAGGATTTCTTTTTTGTTGTTGTTGTTGTTTTTTCAGGATTTCTTGTTTTATCATGCACCTAATCAAGTCCCCAAGTTCATACTAGCAAAGCTTCAAGTTTCTCTATTGAATTTTCCACTGTAGCTGACACTGGAGAAAAAGAAAAAATACACACAGACACACACACATGTACTTTCTTCTAAATAACTGTTGGATTAAAACAAAAGTGAAAATTAGAAAAAAATGAAAATTAGAAAATAAGCAGAATAATCAAGTATAGTTAAAAACTTACAGAATATAATTAAAACCATGCTTACAGGGAAATTTTACCTTTAAATGTATAAATTAGAAAGAATGCTGGGCATGTAGCTTATTAGTGCTGTGGCTGCCTGGCAAGTACAAAATCCTGAGTTCAATTACCAGTACCAAAAAAAGAAAAGAAGAAAGACTGGAAATCACTGAGCACAGTGGTTTTTGTTTATTTTCTTTTTTGTAGTACCTGGGATTAAACCCAGGGATTTTGTACTGAGCTCCACTCAGTTGCTGCCCTTGAACTTGAGATCCTCCTGCCTGAGCCTCCTACAGTACTAGGATTTTAGGCATGTATCACTACATCTGGCTCTGAGTATCTTTGTTTTGTTTTGTTTTGAAGGTTTATTTATTTTTATTAGTACATAATGTTTACATTCCTTGTGGGAAGTCCATACATGCAC